AGTTAGGCGTGGCAGGCGCTCCTCAGAAAGCGCTGTACTCCTGCTCCTGTGCACGTCCTACTCGCCAGGACGCAGTCTGCATCCGCAGCGCGGCCCGCAGGACACGGCCCGCCCGCCAGGCCACAGGCTCAGCTTACGGGATTCGGAAATGGCATCTCCAGAAACGCTGAGGACCTCGTAAAAAAAAAACCACTTTATTCATGAGACAGTTTGAGACGTGGAGTATGTTTTTTAACAAATGAAAAATGAAGGAGAAAACGGCACTTAGCACACATCAGACTAGGGCAGCTGGAAAAAAAAATGTGATAAACTTGTTTCTGATATCAAAAACTCCAGTCCGAGCTTCCAATGCCTCCCATGTTTCCACTGGGTATTTTTTTATTGCTGTTCTTCCTTTTTTCCCACATTTCACAGCCCAGGACTGGTACGGCCTTTAACACTTCAGCGACGGGAGCCAATGCGGTGACTTCTCCAAGGCACACTAGCCCATCAGGTAGCCCCTGCAGAAATACATTCACAAACACGGAAGTGAGAAGGACACAACGCTCAAAATGTCCACAGCTCAAGACGGTCAAACCACATCGAAAACGTAACTGTGACTACCCATTATGGTTCATGTTTATCTCGCTGCCTTCATTCCAATAAAGTACGACTGGGCTCTCTCTTCTCCCTCCAAGTTACAAAGCAAATGCAAGGCCTGAGCGAATATACAGTGACTGAATGTTTAAAAGTCTGTTACAGTAAAGACACAGTGCTGTTAATCCCCCTCAAACCCTCCCCCTTGGGTCCTTCGGGAAGCACCCTGTCCTCACTGCCTCCACGAGGTGTGATGAAAACAATGGCCGTCCGCGGGGAAGGCAGCCCCCAGCCCCCATCCCGCTGAGTCACCGGATCTGGCCCCCGCGACTTGCGGCCCTTTCCCAAAGCCAGACTGGCCGTGAAAGGGAGATGTTTTGAGTCCGTTGCAGACATCAAGGGGGCTAGGACAGCGCAACCCTCAGGAAAGAGGGCTCCACAGCCGCTGCAGGAAGTGGCAGGGACGACGGGATGAGCGAGTCTGCAGCAAGGGAGTGTTGAGGGGGTTCACGGCAATGTGTGTTTTACTGTAATTAATTAATTTTCTGTAACAGACATTCACCGTATTTTTCATTTGAAGATCTCAAAGCACTTTGTTTCTTCTTAGAACATATTTGCCATGCACAGTGCCCACATTTGTCCTAGGGAATTTGTACGAGCATGCACTATATTTTTCCATCATTCCTCATAGGCTAAAAAACACAGAAATAAGAAAAATGAAGTACAGAAAAGGAAACATTATACAAGGGTTAAGAATCAGAATCAGTCCTCTGGAGTCTAAAAACTGTAACAAATCTTCCGACTCCTCCAGGTGTATAAGGCCCTGATCCCCAGGAGAGGAGGGTGCGCAGCAGCTCCTGCGGGCCCTCGGGTCCCCAGAAGCAGGCAGAGCCACCGCCTCTGTTGTCTCAGCAAACACGAGCGCAGACCGGGCTGCACTGCGCCCGCGTGCGCCGGACACGCACCGGCGCCTTCGTTTCATGCAAGCGTCGCCCGAGACGTTTTTAAATCAAAGTATGAAACTTGGTGTTACAGAGGTCCCAGCCTTTTCTTTTAATAAACCTTGTGACCTACCAAGAAAAGAATCCGTGGAATCAGAGAGAGAGCAGAATCATCCAGCGCTGTCAGCATCAAGAGACACCGGGGGGTCTGTTCCCCCCTCCTCCTCCCGCTCCCTCTGTTGCCCGAGGGAACGCACCACTCCCGTAGGAATCTTTAACCCCGAGCTCCACAACCAACAGACCCCGAAGGCCTCGCACGTCTCCGCCGACCCTGCGTGTCCTACGCTGGGCGCTGCTGTCCACAGCCAGTGTGCGCCTGCGCTCTGCACTGCACACGCAGGCCCACAGGTCTCATCTGAGCGAGGGCGGCCAGGCCGACACAGCCTCGCTAGAGCCGCCGGCCAGCACAGTCCGGCCAAGGGAAACTGGGGGATGCTACCAAATATCCTTACACTGAAGATACGGTGTTAGAACAAAAGGGCAAAGAAATCAATGCCACACAGTGTTTCCTGGTGGGAAATTTATATGTTGAAGCCAGGTACCGTGGCTCACGCCCAGTGGGGGGGGGGCGCTGAGCAAGAACATTTTCCACAAGTTCAAGGCCAGCCTGCACCTCATAGCAAGACCCTGTCTCAAAAATTATAAAAAATAAATAAATAAAGTAAGCAAACCAAGAAATTTAAAAAACTAGACAGGAGAAGCCCATGGGGATCTTCTATTTAACCTCTGCGTGAACACTCACTGGACGCCTTCTGTGTATTAAGGCACGCACTGTGCTAGGTTAGTGTGACACAAAAGTCTCCCAAACAGCGTGACACGCATCCTTAAGTCTCATCCTCGGCAGCAACTCTAGAGGCCTAGAGGCAGTGGCAGGGTACACTACACGGAGCAGGTCAGACCTGGGCGCAAGGCAGGATAAGCGTTATTCTCCTTTAACGGCTGAAGGGGGCGCTGTGGGGCAGGGAGCGGTCTGCTCCAAAGGGATGGGCCAGGCCGGGATTTAGCTCAGTGGTGCTGCACCTACTTCGCAAGTGCAAGGTCCTGAGGTCCAGAGTTCGACCCCAGGTATCACAAAAAACAAAACAAAACAAAACAAAAACCGCTGGACCATCAGTGCAGGCCGCCTCTGGCGGCCCCACCACATCCTCGCTTTCTTCTCTCAGAAACAGTCAGAGCTGACTCATTTATTCTCAGAACTGCGGTCTGAATCCAGCCTGAAACACGGACCTTTCAGGGTCCCGCCGGTCTTTGAAATAAACACCCACATCACACTGGACGGCCCCCAGGCGGGAGTGAGGCCGAGGCCAGAGCCAGGAGGCGGCCACCCAAACCCAGCTCCAGACCCTCCCTCCTCCAGCCTCGCTGTCCTGCCCACAGCTGCACAAGCGTTGCTCCTTGAGAATCCCCCTCATTTGCTAAAACAAACCTCTGATACCAGATTTACTCACTGGGAAAACCCAGCCGCCGCTCTGCGGCCTGAATTTCCTGGAAGACAGAAACACCTCTCAGCTGGAGGACGCCAGGCGGCTCCCCACACCCGCAGGCAGTGAGGCCCGGGGAGAGCCCAGCGGAGTCTCCACGGCCTTCTCCACACAGCCTCCCTGTCTGTGGCACAGGACGAGCACCAGGGCGCCCCCCACCCATCAGTTTCCCAGGTGGGGTCCCAGAGCCCTCCCTCCACAGTGCCCCAAGAGAAGCAGCGGTTCACAGGTTAGAAACCTCCGGCGGCTACGGCAGCTCATCACGACCAGAACTCACCAAAAGACACTTTAAAGACAAAAGAATTTTTAAAAATGTCACCGGGGGGACAACTGCATTTTCTCCGGATCCCACGTGGGGACAGCGCTGTACCCTGAGCAAGCCTCTGGCTCTTCTAGGCTCTTGTCTCTTCCAACCCATGCCAAATTAAATCTGTGCTCTCAGGCTGTCCACGTCATCATGTTACTTCCAACAGAAGTTAAATTGCAAATTACACAGAGTATCGCGCGACTTACGGCAGCTTCATCCTCATGAATACTCTGGCCATGAAGAAACTCAGCAGGACACAGACAAAGCCGATGAACAGAAGGAGGAATCTGTTAAGCTTTGGGATGTTCGGCGCGTTGGATCGGTCCAGGATGATGAAGCCCAGGCCGCCCATGGTGAACAGGAAGCTGGAGGCCAGGCCCTCCATGATGTACTGTCCGTTCACTCTGCAGCAGAGCACAGCGCATCCGCAAATGAAAACTCCCCTCAACAAGCTCCTGTCTCCTCACATAAGACATTTTATGCTAATTTTGTATTCTTTTCTTTTGGTACCGGGGATAGAACTCAGGACCTCACGCTTGAGAGGCAGGTGACAGATCCACTCAGCTAAATCCCCGGTGCTCTGGGTAGTCATCTGATCATGACTTCCAAAAATATTTACTGAGAAATCTATTAGATATCAAATACCGCTCCAGGTTCTGGGATGCAACAATAAACAAGAGACAAAAATTTTCATGTAGCTATATTTAAAAAAAAGGTTTAAAAGACTAACACAACCGTCTACATAAAATCAATATTCCTATTTTAACTAACTCCAATTATTTGAGGTGTATGAACCCTTTACCAAGAACTGTGGCTTTTAAAAGTCATACATAGACTTAAATGTCTAATATCAATTTTAAATTAATTTTGAATTAGCTAGAGGTGTTTCCTGAAGTTTTGTCATAATAAACTTTCCGTTTCCAAGGAAAATATTTTAAATTAAGGCCCCAATCTCCACAAGGACTCCACAGCAATCTATAAACCTTTACAATCCTATGCAAACTGGGCGTGTATATATATATATAT